TTATGCAACAATCGATCATTGTAGTATTTTTTATTTTTATTTTTTAATGCTCTAACACAAAAACATTTACAATTCTTAATACGATTAAACAATTTACAACTTTAATATTTCTCAAATTTACAACTTGATGAGCGCCACAATAGATGTGGTACCCTAGAATTTTTTTAACATATATACTTATGATTACACAAACAAAAGACAAAACATTAACGAAAAAAAGAAAACAAAAGGGAAGAGAGTTAAAACTATCTGAATTTGACAAAAAAAGAACGTGATAGCTAAGCTATGACTGCTTCAGATAAGTATGGTAGAAGTTTGTTCCATTTTTCATAATGAAAAGAAAGTTTATTATTTTTTGATGCTATCCTAAGTTCTATGTTGTAGATATATTTTACTCGAACATTTAAGGATAGCATTTTGAAATGGATATTATTCGTGCTCATTATTATATCTATTTAAAGCAGTGGGAGCAAACTTCTCGTATATTAACATATGAAAGCAAGTGTATTTTTCTACATACSTGAAAGCATATAAGATTTGCATACTAAGCATTGATACTATCTTTATCTCTCCCAAAAGAAAAACATTAAATGACATAAAATATAAGACATGACTAGAACTATAAATGAACATATAATATGAAACATTGAATAGCAGTAGTTGCCAAAAATGATATTTGTTTTGCAACTAGATAGGAACTGGTCAGTATTTGTTGAAAACGAGAGGAGAAATAGTAAGAGCCAGCCATCTAAAGAATATCAATTAAAGGCCGAACTATTATGTATAGTGCAAGTAAAGTTTTTGTTCACAAAACATAGGACATTACATAGGTATAAATGTTCCATCGATATATAATTTGTCAGGTTCGGGGCGGCTAAAGAATGCTCGTTTACCTTCATTACGGGCTCGTTCGAGTCGGTGCTGTTGTTTTTTTATTCTGTTTATTATTTCTCTGGGAAGGTCAGGCTTAATGAAGAAATGACTTCCTTTCAGTGATTTTGCGCTGCTGAGAACTCTTTCTCTATCTGGATATCGCAGAAAGCGTACTATTATCGGTCTAGGCAAGTCAGGTTTTTTCTTTCCAACTCTGTGTACACGTTGGAATTCAATTTTATCTACTTCATAGAGGTCCAATTTGTCATCCATAAAGGCTTTAACTTTTTCTTCAACATTCTCATCTGTCTCCTCTTCCAATCCAAAGATGCGTAAGTTTTCTCTCCTTTGGTACACTTCATGATAGAGTATTTGGTCTTCTAAGGACTTGCATTTTACTTCGGTCTCAGTGCATCGATCTGCGATTTACGTTATCCTTCACATCCTTTATTTCTTCTTTGAAAGAAGACAATTCATTTTTTAGCTCTGTTGCTACTTTAGTTTGGTCTTCAATCTTTTTTTCTAGCGTTTCCAGCTTGCCCTCGAGGCCTGATAGCCTGTCCAGAATCAGGTCTAGTTTCGGCGCCACGTGTTCTACCATGTTGAGCGCTAGTAAAACTTCGTCTCCTTCTGTTATTTCTTTTGAAAATTCCTCTTTATGCTTCTTATCAGTTGGAGAAAGTGTTTCTGATGTGGAGCCACTTGAACTTGTTCTTTTTTTACGTTTATTTCGGCCACCAGCCATAAAATATCGAAGGTTTTAGACGGAGCTCTTCAAGACCTTCCTACTCCATTGGAACCCAGTCCCTCATCCATCATTGTAGTATTTGCTTCGTTCTCAAAACACCCAAAACAGTTATAATGTGTCGTACGAACATTCCCGCTATAATAACAATCATTGTAGTATTTGCTTCGTTCTCAAAACACCCAAAACAGTTATAACCCGGGGGGACTCCCTAATATCAAAGGGCGGGGGTCCTCGGCGTCCCTTTTAGGGTTTGAAATCAGTATTTTGGTCCCGCTTAGGGTGATCATGACAAGAATTCCTACCAACTGTGTTTTTTGGTCCCTTTTAGGGTATACGGCGACC